CCCCTAATGCCTAATGCTAACTGCCCAGTCGCGGGATAAATCCCACCAAGTTTCTGTAAGTGCTATTATGTCTGGGTCTGAACTGGCTATTCTGAGGGCAAGTTCCTCCTGCTTATTCGCCATACTACGAGCATTGGTATATAGGCATTTAAGGCCCTGCCTAGCTGCGTGTGCCACCCCCCGATATGGGAGACTGTTTGGACCCCTGTTTCTTACCTTGGCACTCCTTGCATTTGATCAGGGAGCAGGGGAAAAGCATGGCAGGTGTTTCTCCCCCTCCTCAACACACCCCAGGTGGCGTCTGTGCAAGCCAGGGTGGAGTTTTAAAAGCCCAATCCCACCATACTCAGCAGGCCAGCCAGGGCCTAGCCACCCCCCACCCCCTGAGCTCAAGCAGGGAGGGGGAGAAAGCCTCAGAGGACTTCTCTCCCAACTTCCCTCCAGCGTTCCGGCCACTGCCAAAAGAAAGAAAAGGTGTGCGCTAGCAGCATCTCCCACCAGCTTCTGGCCTGAGCCACCATAGGCTTATTCTGGAATCAAAAGTGAATGTTTGTTCACTTGCTTCTCAGTTCAATCTATGCAGCTTAAACTAACCTGCAAAGACTGAATTGATTCAGCCTCAGGTTTTTTAAATGTCTGTACCTAGCCCAAGATATTCATTTATAACACCTCTTCTCCCCATTCATAACTGGCCACACCATTATTGGGCACTTCTCAACTGTTTTCAAACTTGACAGGGTGCCTCAAACCTATACCAATGGGGCCTTCACAATGACAACGAATGCTCTTGTGGCCAAGTTCAAACTCTCTCTCACATTTTTGACTCATATCCATTTACTATGCTACCTGGTGGCCTTCAAGCTCGTCACACTGGTGATGACATCACTTTAAAATGTCTAAAACAATATGCCAAAACCAGATATGCTAAATAAATAATACCTTCTTGAAAGGTCCATGTTTTTTGGGTTAGAAGACTGTCAAAGGGAATGCCTACAATCCCCAAAGCTGGCACCAATTGTAATATCTACTCCATATCAAAACAGCTCTATGCTCTTTGTCACATTTGAATTCTCTTCCTTTTGCATAAGGGACTAAAATCCCAATAAATATAACAAAGAAACTGAATTTTTCTGAGTTTATATAAATCTTATTCAACATATTGCCTAATCTGGTCAAAAGAACCAAATCTAGCTAAGAAATCAGAAGGTCTAAAAGGATCCATACTTCTTGGAATAGGTTTCTTCTGGAAATCTTGGGCAGCTTCATTTTTGTATCCTGTCTGACAAGCAAAATATAACAACTAGAATTATGTTGGCATTCGTCATTATGTGATCCATTTCAACAAACTGTTATTCTTCAAACTGAAGTTGATCTATACTAGGTTAGAAACATTCGAAAAATACCTGATTTTTCATTATTATTTGTTAGGATTACCTAGCATGTTGTCTACATGAAACATTACCATTTATTTTCTATTTCATAATAATATATGCCCATTTAACCATCTTAAATGATACGGACATAACTTTAAAACACTTAGTTGGAAAAACAAGAGAAGAACTTCAAAAGGAATAAATTAATGTGGTGACAGTATCCACTTGACATGCATTCTAGATCAGTTATGGGAGGTTCATGGATTGAGCTAAATTCAGAATATTCTCAAAAGCCTTCTTCAACCCAAATTTGTTAGGTCAAAATGGGCACCAGCACAGTTCTGTCCCTCCCTCTAATTTACCAGACTGTCAGTTAACTTAGATAAAAGCTGCAACAGAAAAGCCTAATAGTCAAGTTCAAAAGCAAAGAACACACAGTGCTTACGAACAGCACAAACATCTCCATAAGCCTCTAAAGAAGGTCAAAAGATCTTCTTGTATCACAAATTATATCCAATACAACAGCAGTTCCCAAGCAAGACTGTGCCCCACCAATTTAAAATGATACAACCTTAAGTACCACCAGCAAATTTT